AAATCCTCTAAACCCTAAATCTTCGTCCTTATAGCTGGAGGGTGCATTTAGGAGCTTGTGGGTATATCTTTGTGATCTTGAGGTGTAGAAAGAGTTTGGAGGAGAAGGAGTGAGAAGGAGTGAGAGCCCATGAGTTTGGATCTGAGCTTAGCTACGTGAAAGGCTTCCTAAAAAGGTATAAAGCTTCAAGCTTTCTTATCCTTTGCTTTGGTTCATTCATTTGGTGTATTTAGGGTTTTAGTCCCAAAAGGTGGAGACTTTATGAGTAAATGGGCTCCAAAGACCTTGATCTACCCCTTTTTCAGTGTATATTGTGACATAGAGTCATAAAAATCCAATCTTGGACGTTAGGAGTGAGCCATGCATGAGTTATGAGCTTCTTATGGAAATGGGTTGTGTGTGTTGAGTGTTGGTGTCCTTTTCAGCCATGCAATGGCTTAAAGTCACTGACTTTATGGATTAAGAGACATTAGAGTGACCAGATCCGAAATATGAGCTCATGTCTTATCTGATTAAGACCAAAATCATGAGAAGTGTGAATCTGGGGCGTACGCTGGGCGTAACCCCAGTACGCGCAGCGTAGGGGTCGAGCATCCCCGATTTCTGTATAACAGCCGAGTACGCCCGGCGTAGGGAGGTGGAACGCGCAGCGTACTCCCTGCCTTGACTTTTGTTGACTTTTAGGGTTTTGTCAAATTGTGAACTATTGAGCCTTTGGAGGGGTAAAATGGTCCTTTACCCTTCTGTGAGTGTAGAAGGATGAGTCTAGCTTCTTGAGGACCAATATTAATTAGGGATAATTATTATGTGATAGGCGGAGGCTAGACCGGTGGGTAGAGTTCGGGATTTCCGAGTACGAGTTTTTCACTTGGTAGCTTACAAGGTGAGTCTTCTCACTATACATACCTTGAGTGGTAATTTATGTGTGGCCAGAGGGTCTTATATGTATGTGCTGTGTATTGAGATATCCTGTTATTATTCTGTGACATGCTTACTGTGTATTGTATTGAGTTACTGAGTTGTGGGACCGGAGGGTCCCACTGAGACACATCGACCGGAGGGTCCTACAGAGTTATGGCCTCGAGTGGCAATTGTGTTGTATGTGGTATTTTGGGGAACTCACTAAGATTTATGCTTACCGTGTGTATGTGTTATGTGTTTCACGTAGTTCCGAGGAGCGCGGCAAGGCACCGGCATGATTGTACACACTGGCGAGAGATTGTTTTATGATTCTGGGATTTACGTTTTATTTGTTGACATTTGAGACATATGTGATTTTGAGAATTATGAAATGAGTTAAATTATGTTTTTAAAATGAGAAAATTTTGTTTGAAAATTTACGTCGTTACAAAAACTCATTTTATTTACTAATCTATAAACACAACAGAATAAGTATTTTATTTGATACAAAATAAATTATAAAAAACAAAAATTGCTACAAAATTTTAAAGCGTTTTCATGTCTTCGTATCAATATTTCCATATTTTCTTCAATTTATCATTTTTCACCTCTTCATTATTCACCACAATTTCTTCCAAATCTACAAGAAAATTTAAAAAAAAAATGATTGATGAAAAAACACTCACCAAAATACATATGTGATTAACATATGAATCACATACGATTCACATGTAAATCACATGCGATTCAAATGCAATTTATATGTGATTTACATGTGCATCACATGCAACTTATATGTGATTCACTTGTGATTTACATGTGAATCACATATAATTCATATGTGATTCACATATGATTCATATGTGAATTACATGTAATTCATTTGTGATTTACATGTGATTCATATGTAAATTACATATGATTTATATGTAAATCACATGTGATTCATATGTTAATTACATGTGATTCATATGTAACTTACATGTGAATCACATGTAATTCATATGTAATTCATTTGTGATTTACATGTGAATCACATGTAATTCATATGTGATTTACATGTGATTCATATGTGAATTACATGTGATTTACATGTGAATCACATGTAATTCATTTGTGATTTACATGTGATTCATATGTGAATTACATATGATTTATATGTGAATCACATGTAATTCATATGTGATTCACATGTGAATTAAATGTGAATTACATGTGATTCATATGTGATTCATATGTGATTCATATGTGAATTAAATGTGAACCACGGAGGCGATGAGGAAGGCGATCAATTGATGGGGTGATGATTGTCGGAGGGGACCATGGATTCTAAACGGCGGTTAGTTCATAGAAACATATCAGAAATTTCGTTTCAGTGATCCGCGGATGGCTAGTTCGGAGATGCACAACGCATATTTTGTTGATTCAATTTGGATCTGGAAAGGCACCTTTACTACCTTCTTGATTTCATTAATGGCAGATCATGTAACCAGATGATTTTAGGGTTACGATTTTGTGTATGAACAGAAGATCAATGTGGTGGAGACAATGGTGCTTTAAGGGGAGATCGGCGGACTCGATGATGATTGAGGTCGATCGAGGGTAGAGGGGTGATTCGATGAAGAAGACGACGTGAAAGAGGGGAGATAGAGAGAGAGAGACGCAGATGAGAGATTTAATCGGGGGAATTAAAAGAATTATTTTATTCCTAAAATGCCCTTGATTCTTTTTAAAATCATACCCACGTGTCTTATTTTGTCTATGTAAAATGTCACAATGCATCTTGGTCATCCTTTTTTTATCCAACGCTCCACTTTTAGTTATCGGAAAACTGTGAGTTCTCAAATGATCTTTCATATATATATATATATATATATATATATATATATATATATATATATATATATATATATATATAGAGAGAGAGAGAGAGAGAGGATCAATTACAAATTTTAAAACTTAATATACTATAAACATAAGTTGAAAATGTAGGACAATGATGTTTAGTTGTTGTGTCAGTTTGACCAACTATATTTTTTGTGCTCAATACAACATTAAAGTTTTATTTTAACGTCACATATTAGATGGAATAACTCATTTCTCATTTAGAACCTTCGTCTAAAAATATTAGGTGGGAAAACGGGATGCTCATTAAAATAGTCATTCCAAAGACAATGATGTCCTTCTTCATGATCACTTTTAATATATGTCATGCTTCTCTTAGGACACCATGAAGTTTCATCGGTTGATTGTTTAGGGTTAAAGCGTTTTAGCTCTACATACAAAAATATTGTTGAATTATTTTACAGATTGTCAAACTAGATGTAGAAGCAAATGAAGACGAAGAAGAACATGAAATTAAGGAGGTTGCTCAAGGGATATCACCTCCAACAATCGAAGACATTAAGGAGGACATCGTATTAGAATTCTCAAATTAAATATACTTTGATTTCAAAAACCCGACTAACTTCGCAACTAAAAATAATTGTATTTTAATTTTCTACTTTAACATACTTTTAACATTGTTTTTATATATTATATTTTGGGTTAATCTCATAAAAGACCTTATAGGTTAATTGAATCGCCCGCTCCAGGGATTATTTCTCGACGTTCTGTATATGAGCCTCTTCAAACAGGGCTTATTGCTATTGATTCAATGATTCCGATAGGACGGGTCAGCGAGAATTATATTTTATGTTTTTTCTAGATTAAACCTTAAATTTATTTTTGTCTGAAAAAACCCTTGTATTTTTTCATTTTTACTAATATGGCTCTTTTAGTCATTTTTTCCAAAAAAAAAAATATAAATGTGAGGGTTTTTTCAAGAAAAACTAAAAAAGTTGAGGGTTTATTTGGAAGCAGTTAGAGTTAGAAGGTTCAGTGTTTTTTGGGAAAAAAAAGGTTGAGGGTTTTTTCTGAAAAAAAAAATACAAGGTTTTTTTCAAACAAAAATTAAAGTTGAGATTTAATCCGGAATATATATATATATATATATATATATATATATATATATATATATAAAAGGTCTTTTATAAGAGGGAAATGATTTGTCAAAGTAATTACCTTTTTGTTTTGTTCACATTAGTCAATTTTTTTTTATACATTTGACAATTTAATTTGTTAAATATGTGCACATATTATCATTGTCACCTGCTCAGGTTACAATGGTAACAATTAAACACATTTAACAAGTTTAATGGTCAAATGTATAAAAAAATGTCTAAATGTGAACAAAACGAAAAGATGATTACCAAGTAAGTCATTTTCCCTCTATGAGATTAGGCCATCTGGTATGTTTATATGGTGTTCACGCATGTTTTCACACCACCTCATCACAAGCTTGCTCCACATACACCCTTAGGGAGTGGTCACGCATAAAGAGAGGGAAGGAGAGAGAATAAGAAGAACTCCCAGCCAAGAAGAACTCCCAGCCAATCAATGTCTTCGTGATCCTCCGTGACCGGTACCACTCCACAAGACATATATGCCCTTTGGGGGCGGTGTTCACACATGGAAGGAGGGTGCCACGTAGGTTTCTACGTGTAGAAAGGCTTCCATACCTCCCGGCCTTAACCTTTTGACACAAGGTTGTGAAAATCAAATTCTACGTATGATCGTTTTTTGATTTGCAAGATCGGGATCCAGATCCTGAGATCCCACAAAATAAAACATAATTTTAACTTATAATTTAAAAACATGAAAAATATCTTAAACATTCCGTTTTCCGTTCAAAAGTTATAAAAACTTCAAATTCTCTAGTCACAACATAAAATGATAAACGGTAAACTAGTAAATGGTAAAAGACATAAAGTGATAAGTTCATTTAAAAGAAAAAATCAAGGTAAGGTAGAATCGGATCAGATCCTACCCCAAATTCGATCCGGCTCGTTTTTCATACCTACGGTCAAGATTGCGATTTTGACAACCTTGCTTTGACAAAGTACACAATGGTATGTCGCTCCACATAATTCAGGTAAGGCATTTTCCCAAAATCTTTACCGAAAAGTCAATATTTCTCAAACGTGTTTTGCTAGTACCAAGCCTAAACAAAAACTTGCTTTACATGCAAATTATTAAAAATATAAAGAACACTAATACAATACATAATCCAACCAACAGATTTCTCATTACTTTGGTACCCCGTTGTCAAATAAAGAATAAAAAACACATCAGTTTAAACTAACATTCACACATCTCACAAGCAACAACAAAAAGGCACCGCAAACACAAGTCGGGTCCAGTTCAAATCATAACGTTACAACACAACAATTACAAGAAACAATTGTTCTTGAACCTATACTTTGAAATCTACAATATAACAAGCATCATTCTTTTTCAAAAATTTATATACAAAAAAAAAGTTATAAAATTAAATTACTTGTTTGACCATTGAAATTCTATTTCAAGATTCCTCGAGGCACCATTTTTGCTTTCGGGCAGCAAAGCATACTCGCCCGCCACTGCCCCCAGCATCACCACTCGGTCAATCTGTATTGTTACCTTCCCAAATGAACTCTGCAAAAACAAAATATGAAATATAAAATCCTCCATAAGTGACTTAATTGAGTTATTGAAGCATCCTACTTTCATTTTTTTACATTGTAGCATTTTACTTCAAATTTTTTCTTATTAAGACAGTGTACTTTGGAAAAGACAATACGGGACACGACAAGATTTCTAGGGATATTTTCAAGATCAGAACAAAGAGGGCATTCATGTCTTTTGGGTCATCTACGCATTTCATTGTAAAGCTCTGATAAAAAAATAAAAAAAGGTTTAGAATTTGGAAAGCAGCCTATATATATATATATATATATATATATATATATATATATATATATATATATATATATATATATATATATATACCTTTCCCATCTTGCTTTTATTTTTGCATGAGATGTGTAGCTTCTGGCCTTTAGGAGGACTTTCAAAGGACCAAACAAAGTTCTCATCCCACTCGGGATTAGGACCCGTTGCAACCACCTAAAGAAACAAAATTCAACAAGAAATTAGTAACTTAGTTTTGAATTTCAATATAGTTTAAAATTAATAAATTATAAAAGTACCTTGGTTTGCCTGGAAGGAGTGTTCCCAAGTGTAAGCTTGCAGTAGACACTCGGATTTCCCACGGATTGTTTCATATTATTCCCGCGTTTAATTATAACAGTTAATGTCCCGGGTAAACACTGCAATAAAAACTCGGCTTTTTCTTGAAACCGAGGTGGGCCCGACTGGATCAAGTACTGCAACAAGGGTATTGCATCTGCAGCAGCATTTGATTGGGATCTGGAGACATCAGCAGGGCATGCGGACCACGCTAGCCTCAGAAGAAATAGCGCGTCCAATGCAGCTTCTTGAGTTGCTTCTGAGCCGGTTTTGAGTGATGTCACTAAATGTGGGATGCTTAATGTTGCGGGTTCAGAGGCTCTTAAACGTGGGAAGTTTCCGAAAAGTGCGTTTAGGGCTTTTAAATACTCCTCGTGGACTGTTCCTGTTGCCCATAAATCCTTTTCAATAGCAGCTGCAATAAGAGATGAAAGATCAGCAGGAGGAGATAAATTAAAGGCAATATAGCATTGTATTTCAATTTTTTCTTATTAAGATTTACCTGTTATAGCTCTAACAGTCTCACTAGACGCATATTCTTGGATGGTGTTGTTGGAAAAAAGAAGCTTGATAAACATTGCAGCTTGAATTGATGTATCCGTATCGCCCGAACCAATCAAATCAAGCACAACCTGAACCCCTCCAGCTTCCGCAACTGCTCTTTTATTCGATCGACTATGCATCACAAGATTCTGCAAAGCACAAATCGCGACAACTTTCATTTCTTCCGAAGGTTGGTCTTCAAGCAAATTCACCAAAGCCCGACACGCAACAACCGCATCAGCAGATCGCGCCAAAGTCTCATTCTGGAACAAATCCCCAAGAGCAAGAGTCGCCAACAATCGAGCCTGTTGACCTTGAGTTTGTTGCTCCAAAAGGTATTGAGAAAGTGGTAAGATAGCTGTTTTTGTGGCTCTAGTTTCCCTGATCTTTACATTATTTAGCAACACTTCTAGAAGCCTGGCTGCGGTTTCCTCACACTGGTGACACCTTAGAAGCTCCAACAGAGCTTCAATCGCACCACTTTCAGCCATGGCTAGAGCCGTTGTGGAATCGTCGCTTTCGAGGACGAGAAGCGCGTTTAGGGCACCGATTACAGTTGCCTCAGAGCCGGACCGGAGTAACCGGACCAACACCGCGATTGGGACTTCTAAATAGAACTCGGAACTGAACTGTAGAATGCTCGATAAAACTGCAGCAGCGGATTCCCATAACGCGTGTGGAAGAGAGGGGTCGGATGCGAGAATAACTTTTGAAAGCTCAGCTACACCGCCTTCTTTTGCGATTTCGTTAGGCCAAGTTAACGCGATACTCACGAGAGCCTTCACAGCTCGTTGTTGTAAAATTGGAATACCGGATCCAAGAACACGCATTAATGGGCCAATTACTTGTTGTGACATCGCGTCTTTTTGGTAATGTTCTTCGAGGAGGAGATGAGATAGAAGCTCGGCGGATAACTGTTGGACAGCGGGGACGGGAGAGTCGAGTAACGGGATGAGCGGTTCGATGGCTTGGTGAGCGGTTAATGTGTAGTCCGCCCGACACTGGGGATGTTCTAGAATATTCACGAGAACCTGCAGCGTGCTATGCTGCCCGTCTGGCCCGAACTCGGGTTTGGTCAGCAATGAGAAAAGAGGTTCTACCACTTTTGATGCGGATTGTCCTTTTGCTATAGTGGCATTGTTGGTTAGTATTCGGAGAAGTTCTGCGAAAGCTGCACAGAGAAAATCCGGTGCTTCGTGGAGGATATCGAGTATGCTTTCGATTACACCGGCTTTCACCATGTCCATTTTAGAAGAAGGTCGGTCTTTTCCCAATTTAACAAGAGCTCTAGAACTCGCCTCGTGTAGCATGTAGTTTTTGCCATACAGAAGCCCGACAAGAGGGATTATCGCACCGTGTGCTGCAACTAACTCGGCTAAATTTTCGTCATCCACGAGCCTATCGAGTGCCCGGACAACCGAATTCTGGGCGGGGCTTAGTTCGGATACGAGAAGGGCAATTAGAGGCTCGACACACCGGGCAGCAGCAATCGTTGACCGGATTCTTGTGTTCCCGAAAAGTACACAGCATAACTCCGCTGCATCGCCTTTCAAATCCATCGAACAGTTCGATGAGAGAATTCTACAAAGAACATCAACCGCATTGAGTTCGACATCTGCAACAGCGAGTACTCCGGAAGGGTTATCGCTGAGTAATCTAACAAGTGCAGCAATGGCAGCATGTCGTTCCTTTTCCAATCCAGTGTTCAAAACTTCCACTAACGGTTGTACAGCTTGGCGGGCGGAATCCGCGTTTCTAATGTGATCGGCATGGAACAGATTCTCCAACGCTTTAGCAGCGCTATATCTCGCACCCCGACCCCCCATTCGTAACACAGCGATAAGCTGACTCACAGCGTAAAAAGCAGACTCGTGTTTTCGTATTTCCGGAGAACTAAACAGGATTCCGAGTAGATCAGTAGCAGCTTCCTCAGGGGCGTCTTGTGGGCCCAGTGAGAGGTACTTTGTTAATGCCTCCAAAGCCCCGGATTCCACCATGACGGTTTTATTCGAAGGGCAGTCATTGGAAAGTTGAATTAGAAGGTTTAGTGCCAAAAAGGGTGCTCCTGGGCGATCTGGGATTGGTTTGAGGAGATCAACTAAAGCTGGAATTGCTTTCCGGGAAGTGACACCGACTCTGATATCATCGACTCTGAATAGCCTCTCGAGGGCGACTTGTTCTGGGTAAGGGACTAAAGCGAACTCTTCGGAGAGTTCTAGAAGATCGCGTATATCGGAATCGGCACATCCGAGTAATGAAATGAGACCGATTGCGGCTCCTGAGTTGGCAACGGATAAAAGTGTTCCCCTGCTTCCGTTGCAGACTAGGCTTGTTATGGCTTGGGCAGCAAAGTATCGATTGGCTGAGTCCTCTGATCTTAATAAACTAGCGAGGGTTGGTATGGCTTTTATTGTTGAGTTTGAACGGATGATGTCTCTGTCTTGAAATAAAATAGCAAGTAGTAGTGCGCATATCCATATGCTGGTATCTTCGTTCACGTCAAACTGTATATGAAGCAGAAGGAAATATCTTTAAAATTATGTTATTGAAATGTACTATGAATTAAACAGATACATACCTGACCATACTGTGACAAACATTGTGAGATCCTCTCAGTGACAACTTCCACAGCTCCAGCCTCCATAATTTCAGCTTTACTTTTATCATCATGACTAGCAATAGCAGAGAGTAACCATATAGCAATATTAGCACCATATATAACCGATGTACTTGTCACTTTTTCACTAGCTATTCCTTCTTCAAAATCTCTGCAGATACTAATAGTCTCTTTATCCTCCATTTCTCCCAAATGAGAACCTTTTGGCAAACTTAGCATCAAGACAAGAGACTGCATCAAAGAAGCATGTAACTGTAGTTCATGAAGATCCTCCACAACTCTTTGAATATTCACTTTTGTAGCACAAACAAGAAGCGCAGTTCCACCAATTTTCACCGTTGGATTCGAAGAATAAACCACCCGACTTGCAATCGATGAAACACAACCAGAAATACTTGTGATTGAATTTCCCAAAACCACACTCTGTGCATGACAAAGCCTTGACAAAATTTCAACTGCTTTATCTTGTAAAAGAGAAGTCGCGCCCGAAATGCATGACACAATGGGGTGTATGCTATCTGGGTATTCCGTAAGCACTGCCCATGCGGGTTTGACCTGCCCGGATGACCCTTTCAATCTAGACAAAATAGCAAGCGCGTTTATCGCCTCTAACATGGCATCGGATCCAGAACTTGTGGTTTTAATGAAAGACACGAGTGCTAAAACTGTTCCAGTGCGATTCACATAGTCTGTTAAGGTGGAATCAGTTTGGCGCGAGTTAAGAAGCCGGGCAATCCCTGCTGCTGCGTGGGTCCTACCCGTGGACTCGCCTTCTAGAAGAACTCTAGTGGCAGGCATAATGAAATCTTCGGGAACAGCTTTTTCTGAAACTTCAGAATCCAGTAAGAGATTTGCTAAGGCACAAACAGCCTGTTCAGCGACTTGCAGAACTGAAGAGCTTGCGAGTGTTAATAATGGAGTGAGTGTGTCTCTAGCAACAGCAGCCACATCGCGGTTTTCTCTAATGGATAAAAAGATTGCAGCAAGGCATCCGGAAGATTCCGCTAATATGCTTTCGGATTCGGAGTTCAAAAGCTTCATCACAGACCAAAGAGTTTTCACAGCCACACTGCTTTCACGCAAATCCTTCCGCTTACTAAAGATTCCCGCAAGAGCCGATGCTGACTTGGCACGTGTCTCTTCTTTTGTAGAGTTTAGAATCTTTATAATTGTCTCGATTGCGTCATTCGAAGCACTACCTTCACGTAACAAATCTTGAAGTGGGGCCGTGGAAAGTAAACTTTTTAATGCGTCTAGAACGTAAACTTTGGATTCCGGAAGTTCACTGGTCAACAATGCGGTCAGTTGACTTATGGTTGCGGTATCTGATTTGTGAATTAAATGGTTCAAAGTCTTGGCTGCGATTTCTTTCCCGTTTGAGCTTCCGTTCTTCAACAGCCATAACAAAGCAGGAACAGCATCAGCACTCTCGACACATTCGCGTATATCTTCACTGTGATTACAAAGATTCCCAAGAATCGTGGCGGAATCTTCTTTCGCTTTTGGAGATCCGGTTTCCAGGATTTGAACAAGTGGCGGGATACCACCAGCAGCCGTAATCGCCCATTTGCTTTCGTCATTTTCATTCGATAAAAGACAAAGCAACGCAACCGCACACTCTTGTTGTTGTTCAGACGAAAGTCCAAGAAGAGAAATCAACATCTGAATCCCTTCCCGACCCTGAAGCGCATACCATAAACTACCTTCGTTTTTGCAAAGAATCAACAAAGATTTTATCAATTCGTCTTGAACTTCATTCGTTGCCATTGTAATCAACCCAACCAACAAACGTTTCGAATCCGAATTCGCGAGTTTCGTCGAAAGCGTCGCGTTTCCGTATAAACTCGCGAGAGCTTCAATCGTGCGTTCTTGGACTAAAAACGGTACACGAGGCTTAAACTGTTTGACCAAAGTCAACTCGACATCAACCGGATCCGAAGCTTTACTAGTTTCCGCTTTATTGTCATATATCATAAGCGCAGACGCCAGAGCCCCTAAAGTATCAGCAGTCTGTGCAGGCGACGCGCACGAATCCAGACTTTGACCGAGGCTCGAGATGACATAAGACAATCCTCCGGAGATATTCGCAAGAGCACACATTGCGTTTTCTTGTAAAGCTTGCGCGTGTTCACCTTGCATGAACTCCTTTGAAGGAGCTATTGTTGCATTGATAAGAGAAGGGATACCACTAGAGCTAGCAATCTCTCTCCTTGCTTCTTTGCATTGAGCCGAAAGAGATTTCAAAGCTGCGGCTGCTTGTGCTCTTACCGGAGCTTCATTCCCAGGGCCTAAAAGCTTCAAAAGCAGTTTGGTTGCTTCAGCATCAACAATTCTAGAACACACAGAAGCATCCTCCATCATTAAAGAAGCTAGTAAAAAGCAAACGTTTGCTTGAGTTGTAGATTGATCGGTTGTAAGTAGCTTCACGAGTATAACTTCACCCCCGGATTTTATCGTTGCAGACCAGAAACCTTCTGTACTGCTACACAAATTTCTTAAAGCACCAGTCAACAAATCATCGACTAAATGTCCACCTTTGAGCCCTTTTTCTAGCTGCTCCCATAGCACTGGGACTACCCCTTCAGTGGAAAAGATTTTGGACCCCACGTGATCTTTGGCTCCACCTTGAGAAACAGCATAAATGGTCTTTGCACCTGCGATTCTTCCTTCGACTGAACTAGACTTCAGAAGGCCGAGAAGCGGAGGAATACAGCCCCCAAGTAGTACTTTGACACGTAATTCGTTTTCTTTACATAATGAGCCTAAAACAGTAGCTGCTTGCATTTTTACTCCGAGTGATCCGGATCTTAGGAGAGAGACTAATACTGGAACTGCTTGAGAATGAGAACCAACTGCACTAAATGCGTTTGCACGTGTATCTATCAGCTCTAGTAATTGTTTCAAGTTGTACTCTTTGTCTTGTGCAGATAATGAAGTTTGGCGTAATTGCTCTATGCATTGAGCAACACTTGCTAATGTCCCATCTGGATCCTCCATGCTATTACCCCCTCTGAAATATACAGATGGAGTATTATGGTCTTGAGTTTTTTAATTTTTTATTAGGGTTGATGTCATAAATGGTTAACAACTTATCATACTTTTTTTTATTCACAAAACACAATTGTTTTGAAAAGTTCAATCCAGAAGGTACGCAACTGGAACTTTTTGTACACAAAATACCTTGTTCTTATGATTTTTAATGGTATTTTGTGAACAAAAGGTGCAGTTGCTTCTGTTCTAATGGTACTGATTTATAACAATGGTGTTCTGTAAAGAAAGGAAATAGTTTGTTCCCCAATTTATGACATTAGCCCTTTTTATTATCTTTTATGAGAAATACATTGAGCACAAAATGAATATCATGATTCATGAATGACACATCCAACAAGAGAAAGCAGGATAATATGTCAGCCAGAAATTTATACAATGGCAAATATTCAAACCAATTTCCTGTGGTAAGCAAATGTGTCATCTGTTGATCATTACATATAGAGCTAAAGGAATTAAATAGCTATGTATTTTCATGTATTTGTTTAATAGCATCTTACTTCCATTTCTTTCTATTATAGTATTGTACTTTTAAGTTTTTTCTTATTAACACATTTTACTTTGCAAAATCTACCCAGTTAGAGCAGTATACTTTCATAAAATAAATTCTTGATAAGACATTGTGCTTTCAACTTTTTTCTTATTATGGCATTGTACTTTGAAAAATATGTTTAATTGCAATGTATTTGGAATATTTTGTTATAATTGGATAGAGTTTTCAAAACACAATGTTGTAATAAGAAAGTAGAATGCTATAATATACATATAAATCAAAGTAGGTTGTTATTTCTTGCATTTAACCCTTACATATGTCAAGAAGTATACAAAAGTACATCAAATCACAATTGATGGCCAGAACTGAGCCCCAAAAAGTCCCCACTTATACCAGAACCAGTTGGTACAGTGTATGCAAAAGGCAAAAGTTATAGAGAGAGAGAGAGAGAGAGAGAGAGAGAGAAGGGCTTAAGTATGATCTGTATGATTGAAATAGGCACAATGGTAGCCAAATTTATAAATTTTAATTATTGAGACTAAGAATTTATGTTTTTCATTAGCTATGATATTATGATTCACTTGCTAACAAATTTGGCAATCTAAATGGACACTTGACTAGGAAGACCTTGAACAAAGAGTATGTGAATAGGGATTTGAACTCAAAGTAAACTCCAAAGAGAAATGCAGATAAATCCAAATCTTGTGTATAAGAACACACCATTTCAAGCATACAAACAAGACATGGATACTTTCTATTGGAAAGAAAGGTAATACATACTTTACAACGAATAACTACCTCTATTTACACCAATTAGATAACTAGGAACAAAATCAACAAATTACCTAACAAGTAACAAACTGCATGAAGTAATTAAACTGACCTCGAACTCATCTTTATAAGGGATTGGGGAGTTGCAGGTTCTATATCATGAGGTCTATCCCCATTTCTATCCTGAATTTAGTTAAAAAAATGAGACTGTCAATAATTTTAATATAAAGTTAACGTACTTGCATTACTAATATAGAATTAAGTGAGTAACTACCAGATCATTCGTGGCAAGACTGCTGCCATTACTGCTGGAAGAATACGCCCAACCTACAGTAGCGGCCATTCAAATCCGAAGCAGATCAACCTCCAACTCCGAATCCCAGCCAAAAATTAGAATCTTGATAGCTGCCTGCGGAAATGATCCAAGAAAACCTATCAATTCGATTGTAAATTTACCTAACTGGACCATTAGCTTAAAGACTTACCAACCGCCTACAAAATCAAACTAAAATTCTTCCGAATTGTAAACAAAATAGTAGATCAAGTACTGGAATCCCAATTCAGAAATGACTAGGTAGAGAAAAGAGTGGATCACCAATTGTTATCCTAATTGAAAAAAATCATTTCCAAGGTCAAATTCAGTCAATCGTGTCAACATATTATACATTCAGTCGAGCAAATTTTTTCACAAAAATGCAACGATAAGATCCGAGAATTACTGTAGAATCAACAAAAGCAAATGAATTCAATGAATGCAGAGAATGTTGAGCAAAATCTGGTGATTAATGAGTTCTAACCACTGCGGGAGATCCAGGGGAATAGATCTACTGTTTTCTCAACGCATTTGATGGGTTTCGTAGCAGACAAGTGACGAGGACCCGATGGGGTGTGGGTGTGTGTTAGTGTGTGAGAGAGAGAGAGAGAGAGAGAGAGAGAGAGAGGTGGGGGGAGTTGAAGAAGTAGTGTGACGGTATATCACAGAAAGAGAAAAAGGGTGTGTGGGGTACTACTGACCACCGACAGTTCACATCAACTTGCTGTTAGAGCTTACATGATAATTTCGTTAAAAAATATTAGGAAAATTGAATAATCATTTTTATATTGTTTATTTAAAAATATAAGAAAAAATGACTTAGAGAAATTACTTATTTGTTTGTTTTGTTTACTCAAAATTTTCATAAAACTTTGTTTTGGAAAAAAAAAATTAACAGAAAAATCTCTATTATTTAATTTTTAAAAGGGAAAATGACATAAAAGCCTTTAAGTTTTCACAAAAATATCGGTTTTACCCTTGGACGTGTTTTATGTCCAATAAAGCCCGAAGTTTTGTTTAATCTGTTCATTTTTACCCTTGTAGCCGGTTTCCAGGTAACCTACCGGTTACCTGGGTTACCTAATGCCAGTAAAACTCTTGAATTTTTAAAAATGTTCGGATTTACCCTTAAGTTTTTTCAAAAATATTCGAATTTACCCTTACCTTGATTGTTATTTTGATTATTATAATAATAATAATAATAATAATAATTAATTATTATTATTATTATTATTATTATTATTATTATTATTACATTTTTAATTGTATAAAAATGTTTTATACATACATTTTTAAATGTATAAAAATATTTCATACGTTTTTAATACATTTTTATACATATTATTATTATTGTTATTACTATTATTATTATTATTATTATTATTAATACGTTTTTAAATGTATAAAAATATTTTATACATACATTTTTAAATGTATAAAAATATTTTTACTAATATAAATATATTTTTAAAAATATATATGCTTGTATTTAATATTTATATATACATTTGAAAGCCCATGTATTCCTATAGAAATGTATTTATATATTAAAAATGTATTTATTTGTATTTAGTAGGTATAAGTATAAATATATATTTATTTCATATAAAAATATATTATATACATATAAATATAAATATAAAAATATGTATTTATATGGTTTATATTATATAAAAGATATAATTATATGTATTTGTACATATTACCAAGTATAAATATGTATTTATTATCAAACATCATACTAAATAGATAAGCAAAATAAATATTAATTAATTAAAAACATAACGTAACAATTATGAAACCCTCGTAATTAGAAAACCTCAATAAAAACACTCGATTACAGATAAGATTTAGTATAAAATTTGAAAAAACCTCTATTATTCAACTATATTAGGTTAATAGTGAGTAGATAACAATAAATGGTCAACAAATAACACTCGTAAATGGAAAATACATAATATAATTCAAAAAAAACCTCGACAAAAACACTTGATCACTGTAAATGTAATACCCAAAAATTTCGAACAAATTTAAACTTTCAAAACATGTCAAGTTCATCGAAACATTACAACTTTGTTTTCAAAATACATTTTTATCAGAGTATTCCCAGAAACATAAACATAATAGGAGGAGCTGTACGATCATGCCTTCGCCTTGCCGCGATCCCCTGATGTACCTGAAACAATAAACTGAAACTGTAAGCCCGAGAACTTAGTGAGTTACCCCAAAATACCGATACACATACAGTCCACATAACCATGTCACACCATGACATATCATAACAAACTAAACAGAACAGCATGCAATGGGTCCACAGCTTTACAAGCTGGATTACCCCTGGGCCCTCAGTACGAGTCTGGAATACCTATCGGGCCCTCAGCTCGTATATGGAATACCATCGAGCCCTCAGTACGAGTCTGGAATGCCTACCGGGACCTCAGCTCGTATCTGGAATGCTCCCGAGTCCTCAGTATGAGTCTGGAATGCCTACCGGGCCCTCAGCTCATATCTGGAATACTATCGAGTCCTCAGTACGAGTCTGGAATGCCTACTGGGCCCTCAGCTCGTATCTAGAATACTCTAGGGTTTGTTGGCTACCGCACGGAGCAGTACAACCTCAACCCATCCCACCTCACATATCAACATATAACATAACTACTGAGCATGCAATAATCATATAACATTACAGGTAGTCCTACAGATCTACCCAACTGGTATAACCACTAGCATGCAACACTAACTCATACTCAACATCTAACACTGCTAGGATAACATATCCAATGAGCCGGCCTTGGTGCCTTAGACCTCTTAGTATAGTGAGGATAACTCACCTTGCAAATGTCGACTCGGAAGATAAAACCCAACTCTCGAATCACTTGGCACAGGCTCCACCACCTAACACCAAAGCACAATATACTCATAAGTCCTTAACCTTATAAGGTACTCCATAACCCACTAGTCAACCCCTGGTCAAAGTCAAAGTCCTTAGTCAAGGTCAACAGTCCATGTTGACCCCAACTCGCCGAGTACCCTCGGCTACTCGCCGAGTTCCTTGAAGCACAATCCAACTCGCCGAGTCATCGGGGTGACTCGTCGAGTTGCTTCGATTCTCGTTCAAACTTTAAGGCCACCCGTCGAGTTCCCTCCTTGCAACTCGACGGATACACACGCATACATATCCTAGGGAAAACTCATCCGACTCGCCGAGTTGTTCTTCAACTCGCCGAGTCTTATGGTAATCTTCATCGGACTCGCCGAGTTGTTCATCCAACTCGTCGAGTCCACGACCATCTTCATGTGACTCGCGGAGTCAACCCTTGCGACTCGTCGAGTCCATTCAGTCCCTTTTCCATACAGACTTGTTTTGAGCCATGCAGCGGCTCCAAATCATAGATCCAAGCTTCTAGGGCATGCTTATCACGTAAAGTTGCAAACTTTAGGTGCATGCATGGCTATAAAGGCTATAAATGCCTATTTTAAGTTCTTAATGAAACTTCATGCTCAAGAGGGACCTTAATCCTGACCAAAACTGAAACTTTATGCTTATAGAATCCAAGGAGGGTCCAGATCTGAAGTTACAACCTCAGATCTAGCCCATAGCTCATCTTTCCAACTTAATATCTCACCAAAAACCCTAAAACTCAACCAATAGAAGAGATTCACAAGGAAAAAGGCGATTTGGTTACCTCCAGAAGATGATAACTGAGATAAGAGTTGATTCCCACACTCTACTTGCTCCAATCTCCTTCTCCTCTAAGCCTTCTCCTTCCAAGGATCCTCTCTTCATGCTTCAAACACACAATGGGCACACACACACGTATTAGGGTTTTAAGGGGCTCTCAAAGACTGCAAAGAGGCCATAGGAGGCTTATCATTCCTTAAATAGGGTGCAAAACCCCGAGATTTAGGGTTTCATCTGCCAGTTCCTACTCGTCGAGTCCCTTAGTGGACTCGTCGAGTAGGTCACTAAACACGCGTTCCAAACCCGCTGCTACTCGACGAGTAGGGCAACCAACTCGTCGAGTAGGGCATTAAACCAATTAACCTTTTATTTAAATCCATACCTGGAATCGGGGCGTTACAGTAAAAATTAAGTATTATCAACTTAAAATCATTCATTAACTGTTTTTATCTCAAAAATTGATAACGAAATGTCAAATACGAGTGTAAACTTCATTTATGATTGTTGTAAGTTCACAAAAAAAATCACGAAATGCATCAATTTTTATATTGATCTGAAGCATTTGCTTTTGCAAAATCAGTTATTGACGACATTTTTTACTTTATCAAGTTTTTTCTGTTCAATTCAACAATTATAGATGAAGATTTAGGGTTTTCAAATGTATATAAATACTAAATACAAGTACATATATTTTTAAAAATATATTTATATTAGTAAAAATATTTTTATACATTTAAAAATGTATTAAAAATGTATAAAATATTTTTATACATTTAAAAATGTATGTATAAAATATTTTTATACAATAAAAAATGTATTAAAAATAATAATAATAATAATAATAATAATAATAACAACAACAATCAATGTAAGGGTAAATCCGAACATTTTTGAAAAACTTAAGGGTAAATCCGAACATTTTTGAAAATTCAAGGGCTTTACTGGCATTAGGTAACCGATAGGTTGCCTGGAAACCGGCTACAAGGGTAAAAATGAACAAATTAAACAAAACTGCGGGCTTTACTGGACATAAAACACGTCCAAGGGTAAAACCGACATTTTTGTGAAAACTTAAGGGCTTTTATGTCATTTTCCCTTTTTAAAATTGAAAAAACCCAAGAAACCGGTTAATTTATTTATTTTATCTTTTTTTGTCATGGTCAGCAGGTCATCAAAATAATAAGATTTTTATGTAGATTTCGTCAAAATTTGTATATAATGTATAAACGTATTTTTTACGTATTTATGTATTTTTTTTAAGTTTTTATATGTATATGTTTACGTATTTTAAATGTATAAACGTATTTTTTACGTATTTATATGTATTTTATGTATTTTACATACTTTTTATGTGTTATATTTTTATGTATTACGTATGTATATGTATTTTTATGTATTTATGTATTTTTTTTAAGGTTTTATATAGATGTTTATGTATTTTTTATATATTTTAAATGTATAAACGTATTTTTTACATATGTATATGTATTTTTAAGCATTTTACATATTTTTATGTATTTTTTATGTATTACATATTTATATGTATTTTTTACGTATTTATATATATTGTTTTAAGTTTTTTATATAGATGTTTATGTATTTTTATGTATTTTAAATGTATAACCGTATTATTTTTACGTATTTATGTATTTTTACTTAAAGTTGTCTTCGTCATTCCATCCAATTCTCACAACTTCTTTGAGTATGTGTAGATGATTTTCCTACATACTCACATATTTTAAGCTTTTCTCATTCGATTATATTGAAATTAAACATCGAATTAAAAAACAAAATAATAATTTATGCACATACGAAAACTTTATCAGTCTCATATGGCCTCAAGGAAACCCCAAGTTTTCGTGTGTGCATAAATTATTATTTTGTGTTTTTAATTCGATGTTTAATTTCAAGATAAACAAA